GAGAGAGAGAGAGAGAGAGAGAGAGAGAGAGAGAGAGAGAGAGGGGGAGGGCGTAAGGGATTCATCCGCGTTTGAGAGAGAGAGAGAGAGACTCAACGATCAAATGCTCTCTCTCTCTCTCTCTCTCTCTCTCTCTCTCTCAAACGCGGATGAATCTTCCGCGATAACGCGAAAGATTCATCCGCGTTTGTGTGAGAGAGAGAGACAGAGACAGAGACAGAGATTCACCAAACTCGGCGTCAGATACACCATGACGCCCTCCCGCTCTCTCTCTCTCTCTCTCTCTCTCTCTCTCTCTCTCTCTCTCTCTCTCTCTCTCTCTGAACCTATAACGAGAATGAATCTTCCTCTTTGTCGAGGAAGATTCATTCTCACAGGGCACGTCTGATTTTTTTTTTTTTTTTTTTTTTTTTCCGTGATGTCCTACCGGTTGTCCAAGGCTCGGCAATAAAGTCCGAGGCTCGGGAACGACCGGGCTACCAGTAGCCTGAGCCACGGGCCTTGACCACCGGTAGGTACTGGTGGTTTAAGGACAGGAGGAGGGGAACAAATATCTCCTTACTTTTTCGGGTAATACATGTAAAATACTAACCGCGGGATCACGAGTACTGCACGGCAGGATTTGGGCCACTCAACTGCCCCACAAACTCGTTTCTGAACTGGTTTTTATCCTATCCCATTGCTAGTGGAACCTCACCCCAGAGCAATTCTACAAATGTATTCTAAGAAAATGTCAACTACTCAAAAGACCAAAAACCCAGAAAATTAAACACAAATAAAAAAGAAAAGAGTCATTCAAATAGAATGCAAAAAGGAGCCGAAGCAAAAATCTCTAGTACGGGCATCTATTGTAGCCAAAGATGAGCAAGAGGCCCAATGTTTCCTGAACAACTGAACACCAGCCTGCAAGTTTCCTGTTTTAGCAATCTTTTCCCCCCAATCCAAGCATAATTGACTCTTGTGAGCGAATAGGCTTGCGATCTGGAGAGTCTGAGTCGCACTGTGCCCAACATAATTGACTCTTGTGACCAATATCACCCCAATGAGCAGGAATAGGAGAGTTTGTCTTAAACCACCAGTACTTGGCCCATATATCGTCGTGGGCCTTAGCGTTAACGCTACGCGAAGTTCGCGCTTCGGGCAACCGGACCTAGAAGGCTGGCGCCGCCAGCCTTTCTGAAAACAAAAATGGAATTGGCGCTTCGGCGGGAAACGGCGCGCAAGGCACTTCCAGGCTCGGCTGCGATAGCTGGGCCAAGTCCTGGTGGTTTAAATAGCATCCACACAGCACGGCTGCTGGCACAAGTGACCCATAAATGTTGTTGGTCTTCCACCAGGTCATTTTTCTGTTTTGCAGATCTCATGGAGGAAACAACAAGGAAACATTGCAAAATCAAACCCTACCTAAAAAATGGGCAAAAATGCAACGGATGAATAGTGGAATTTGAATTAAAAAATCGAAAGAAGTAAGGGCTTCGTTAGACACTCCTTACGGTTTCCTTGAGTCACAAGGAAACGTCCTTGTGGTTTTGAAGGGGAAATTGCGGCGTCGTTACACTCATCCTTGGGGCCATCCCCTGAGGGTGTTTCCTTGTGGCTTCCCCGCGGCCGTTTTCATACGCAAATTAGCGGCCGCGGGGTCTGTCGTCCTTGGTCCAGCTTCTTTGTCCGTGTGGAGGCTACGCGGTCCAGCGACGCGAGGCGGGAAACGGGAGTCTGCGGGCGGCGCGAGGAGAAATTTAAACCCGAGAGCGTGGGCATTCGAAATTCAAATTTCGAATGCCAACTTCGACAACGACGACGACGTGTGGTTGGCGGGATGACGGCGTCGTGCTGCGGAAAAGGGCCCGGCGGCGGCGGAGTCCACGTCCAGAGGGCTCCCTCATCTGCTCCCGCTGCGTGTTGTGCTTCCATCGTCGTGGACCTTTGCGCACGTCGACTGCGCGTTCCTCTTCGTTTCCATGCGCGGGGTTGTGAGCGGAGAAAAGGGGCCACCTTCTCAACGGACGTCTTCGGGACTATCGTCCGGTGCGGGAGGACGAGACGGACGACAGCGGAACGACGGGCTATGGAGGGCGGCGTCGCGGCTAGACGTGATGTGCTGAGTCATGGTGAGCTGCAGGTGGTGGCGGCGGCCTTGTCGACGATCGTTCTTCGATGTCAGCAGGAGAGGGCGCTGGGGCGACTGAAGGAGCATTTGCGCGCGCATAGACAGAGGAGATTGACGCGAGATCCGCACAATGGTGTCGAGTTTGTGGTGAAGTCGGAAGCTGTTGTTCAACTGTGCTATGCGTTGGGCTGCGGAGTGATACCCCGCGCGACGCCGCGGTGGTGGGTGAAGCGCAGGACGGGAGGAACATGGGAAGACCTCAGGCTATGCGATGACGCGACTAACGACTACTTCCGCGATAAGCTGCGAATGTCGCCGCGAGTGTTCCGGGAGATCGTGGAGGCGTGTGCGCCTCATCTTCAGCGGCACATGACGTTTTACATGGAGCCTTTGCAGCCGGACCAGATTGTGGCGTACGCACTGTACAGGTGGGCTTCAGGTGAGACGTATGAGAGCAGCACGTGCAACTTCGGGATCGGACGAGCTTCTGGGCTGATTGCCGTCCATGACGTGACTGCCGCGCTGCTGAGGGTGTTCGGCGATAAGATAGCGTGGCCGACGGGAGTTCGTAAACAAGTCGTTCTTCGGGCGTTCGCTGATAAAGGCTTCTCCAACTGCCACGGTTGCATTGATTGCACTCACATCTATGTCGACAAGCCAGCGAATGCTCCAAGCGAAAATTACTACGACAGGAAGCGCTGTTTCTCCATCGTCGCGCAGGTCGTTGTCGACTTGGACTTGCATGTGCTGGACGCGCACATGGGATACCCCGGTAGCTGCCACGGCATCAGGGTGCTGCAGTTGTCCAGCCTGTTGCTGCGCGTGGAGGAGGGGTCGTTGTTCCGCGGGCCCCCCGTCACACTGTCGTTCGGTGTGAAGACAAACAATTACCTTCTGGCGGACAATGGGTACCTCCCTGCCGAATGGATGGTCGTCTCGTATGGTGGTATCAATCAGAGCGTCGAGCAGGAGCGATTTGACAACAAGCAGAAGGTGGCAAGGGAGTGGTGGAGAGGGCGTTCGACAGGCTGAAGGGCATATGGCGGTTGTTTCTCCAAACACACAAGACAAACCTGGAGACGCTCCCGCAGCAGTTCACCGCCGTCTGCATACTGCACAACTTACTGATCGATGCGGGGAAACCAATCCCTCTTCTTCGCGTCCTCTGGCCCCGTGATGCTCGCGTCGTGGCCGAACGTGATGCCGCAGGAAGCCCAATCGGGGATGTACTTCGGGTACTCTCCTAAGGTGGCGTTCGCCTTCCCCAGTCTCTCCGTGACGACGTTCGTCGCTCGGATGASGGACCTTCGATGWTCGAAGGCGCGATGCATRGACKCGATCAGCGTGGGCTTCGCGACCAGCTGCGCGAAGTAGAAGGCTTCGTAGTGGCTACGATGATCGTCTCCCGCCATGCGCATCAACCACATGCAGGCAGCCAACAACAACCTGAAGCAATCCGCGATCCTCGACAGACGATCGTGCAATATGAACCCGCCGTCGACGTTGGCACCCATTTGCACGGCGGCGCGAAATGCATGTGCGACGCACATGACGGTCGACTCGTGGTATGCAACCATGTCGTCGTCCTCCGGCCTGTCGTCGATGTTCACCCCCGCAAACCACAGTGGCAAGTCCATATTGAGGTCGATCGTGTGCGCGCAAACGGCCTCGCTCACCACGTTGCTCCACTCCTCGCCGTACCACATAACGCGCGCAAGGTCCGTCGCCACCGACTCCAACGCGTACTGGAAAGTGAGATTGTATCGGCGGGGGCGGTTCCCTGACTTGAACACCCACCCATGCAAGACGTGCAGAACTATGTTCTTTGCAGCCCACCGGCGATGACCTCATACTCTCGTTTTGCACATTTCGAGAGTAGTGCAGCGAGGCCCATATGGTACTTCAAGATACGCAGAATCCTCGACAGAAACCACTATTTTCGCATCATTTTCTTAAAATGAATAAAAACTGCTACGAATAAATCTGAAATGCATTTTTCGGATTTAAAAAATGCGGTAAATGGTGTCACACCGTTGAGGTTTCTCAACTCAACGGCCGTAGGTGGGACCAGACCCCAGGCCGCTGACATTTACGTGCCCTTCCGCGTGAAAATGCGAAATACGTTCCCCTTCGGACCCAGAAAATCACGTAAAATTTGCGAATTTGCCAAAAAACGTGGTAGTGTGAGTATGCCCTGAGAGAGGCATTCCAGCCATATCCAATCTTTGACGGGTGTGAAGTTCAATCGACGTTCCTGAGGTCCCAGCCCAAGCGGTGTCCACGAGTCATTACTATAGCAATCTCGAGCAGCCACGTCCGCGTCCTTAAGACGCGTGAGGCTTTTAGCTTCGTTACTTCACTTACTAATATCCGCATATTTCACTCTCATTAGACCCCGGTCCTGGCCCCGACTCCCGTCTCGATTCCTCCCCATTCTAGCCATCCGTGGCGCGAACTTTCTTCAACGAATACAATTAAGTATTTTGCTATTTTCTTCTTCTTCAGAACGGGTTTGAGCAGCGCAACGACATCATAGTTACGGTATTACCATCGGCGACCGCGAGCATAATAACCGCGTGGTGGTCTTCACCGGCGGAGTCAGCCGACTCACCACGTTAGGAGGATTCTGCTCCAAGAAGGTAACGATCGACTTTTTTTATTTTTATTTTTTTAACACTGAAAAGTATATTGCTGAAAAACAGAGTGGATCGAGGCCGGTATCAACTTCCTCGTCCTCTGCCCGCAACAGTCGTCAAAATCATAATCATAATAAATTAATAATAATCATAATGAATTAATAATAATCATAATAAATTAATCATAATCATAATAAATTAATCATAATTAGAATGGTTTGCAATTATTATTATCACTGGAGATGACCTGTTTT